ATTGGAGAGATTGTGAAAAATATATATATTTTGTATTGGCTAATTTCGTTATCAAAACAAGTCCGATCAAGTTATAATTTTTCGGTTCAAAATTTTCAAGATTGAAGATCAGATGTGGATTTAAAGAAGTTCAAGTGTTTATACTTTAATACACTTCCGGGATGATATAAACAATGCTTTAAAAAGGTTTGTGAGTGTGTGGGAACACTTAGGAAGTTTTGGAAGTTTGAAGTTTTTCGAATGTTTACATTTTGCCTATTTCGAACTGGTAGCCAAATCAAGGAACAGGTTCAACTTTTTGATTTTTCAGTTCTGTCCATTAGGAACCGGTAGCCAACTTCTGTTCATAAAGAGGATTTTTCTCTACCCATCCTGAACCGGTAGCCAAAATCCAGTACAAGTTTAAGACTTCAGATCTGCTTAGGTAACTTTAGTTTCCTGATCTGTTTTGATTCCTATTTGATATAGAATTCCTTCCAAAAGTCCCATGTATGAAAATTACCTTTTTCCTATACATATCTAGGTCTTTGAAATTTTATATAAACCTTGATTTACATTTAGGTTAGTATGGCTTTTTACATACAAAATTCTGATTTAATTGAGAGCTATCTTTGTGAGATTTTATTCAGAAAATCAATTTGATTTTTCTGATTTTATTTTTGAGAGCACACACACAAACACAAGAGTGATTTATGAGTGTTGTTCTTTATCTCATCATAATAGGAGCATAATTGAAGATTTAGAAATTCCGAAAAGTAGAATTCATTCATTCTTCATCAAATTCAGATCTTAAAGAAAAGGGGTGAATCGATCACACTTTGAATGGGTCAAAGTATTCGTGGAGTGTTATTTTTTTTTTCCTAATTGATACTCACACACACACACGCCTCCACTGAGGTTCGAATCCTTGACCTCCCTTTGGGAAGTAGGGGCTTGATATCGCTAGGCCACAAGCCTATTAGTCGTAGAGTGTTGTTTGATCTACCTACAATTCTTCTACAGAGATCAAGAGTAAGCCTGAGGTCAAGAGTTGTTGGCGGGGGAGTCGCAAAGCCAGGGATTGTCAGTGTTTGATTTTTGGTAAAACAATAGGGTGTGAGCCTGAGTCAAAGTTCAGTGTACTTTGCTTCAAACAAAGTGGATCGATTTGCTCTGGACTGCATAGTCCACGAGGTTTTTCCCACAACAATTAATTTATTCTATCAATTGGAGTTTTCCTGTTAAAAATCTTAATGTCATCTCTCAAACTTTATTTACATTACTTGCACTTTATTTTTGCTTTGTGAGTTTGATTTTAATTTTATTTCGGTAAAATTAAAATAAGTAAAAATTAGATAAATGAGCAAATAAAACCTATTCACCACCCATCTAAGTTAATTATCCATATTATTTAACACAATCATTCCGCTGCGTACAACTCACAAATCACAAATGCCAACTCCAATCACTTCCTTGAAAGAGAGGTCATATCAGCTGTGTGGCATGGTGGTCCTATACAAAATATTTTGTATTTTTTTTTTTTTAGAAATTCCTAAATTCTTCATCTATTGTCCATATAAAGTTTTTTTAAAAAAAGAAAGAAAAAAAAATAGTAACAATTGCTCTGTTTATGTATGGTGTAGTCTGCTGTTTAGATATAGACCGAAGTCGAAAAAGCGGATAGTAACATAGAATGGAGAGGGATTTTGGGAAATGAATCCAGGTTTATGGAGATAATCAGTCCAACCCACATCTCCATTTTGTACAATTTTTTTATTCCCATATCCAAAAGGATTAGAAGCTCTGTTTGTCTCTGGTTGTGGCAAGTTGAAGAACTTAATTGCTTCGGCTTCTAATCTCTTCTCGGACTCAAAAAGTTCTATAAATGCTTTGCGTTAATGATGATGCCATTTTGCTAACCAATCTGCCCAATTGGTTTTAGTCATTTTCCGGAGCTCATTTCACAGATCCTCCCCACGGTGAGTGAGATAGCTCTGTGTTTTTTGTTTACTCGTTTATTTTTATATAACTTTCACTTTTATTGTTGTTGCTGTTAGTATTGAATGTTAATGCGGCAAAAGCCTTCCTGTTTGTATTGACATGTTCTAAGATAATCCGGAACGACTTGAGCATTAGTAGGAATGTTATATATGTTGCATTCTTTTAATCTAAAACATAATATGGAGGGGGAAAAAATGCAAATTATAGTAGGAATGTTCTACTACTTTGCATCCTTTTAATCCTAAACATAATCTTTTCATGAACGTTTATTATCAAAAGTCACAAATTCATTCTTAGAAGTAATTGAGACCATCACTAATTCTTAGGAAGAGGGAAGCATATAACTCTCACTAGAATTGATACAAAATGAAATAATTCCCCAACCAATTAAGAATGAAGATGAGACCATCACTGATTCTTTTATTTCTTTTATTGTACGTCTACTATAAAACGTCTATATATATTTTCTTAATTTACATATATTATTCTCTAAAAAGTTATATCAAATATTATTACCTTCTGTCCAAGTGTTCCATTCTTTGTGATAGATTGATTTTATCAAGCAATGGAAGATCAAAGTGTCAGCAATATTGATCAAGCAGAGTCCAACCGAGCCACCGCCACCGCCACCGAGACCAAAATTGATATGGCCTCAGTTTACCACCCTTTGATTGTACATGCCCCACCCATCGCCCCCAACACACCCCTAAACACTTTGATGCGCCGCCCAAGCCACCGAAGTGCGACACTTTTACTAAATTTATGGTCGCTGTGAACTGTATCTACTCGATTCTTTCAATCAGTATAATGTATCTATACTGGCACTATGAACCACGCCCTCCAATATTTCATCTTCACTCACTCTCCATCAATGTATCTCGTACTCCTCCTGATCAATTCAACGTAAATACTACTACTACTCATGGGATGATCAATTGGAATGTTAGTTTTGACGTTCGAAACCCTAACAAGGATGTAAGAATTATTCACAAAGAAGTCATTAAAGCTTCAATTTTCTACAAAGAGGTTAAGCTCTCGTCCACTGCTGTCTCACATCAATTGGGGAAGGATCAAAGATCACCAGAGGAGGCTTCCATTTTCGTGGCCGGCAATAATATTTTGGTAAGAGATTGGTCAAAAAATAGTGGTGTATTGAATTTTACGGTGAGCATAGATTATGTTGTGAGTCTTTTTTTGGAGGTCATACTATCCCGACATTCGGTTGGATATGAGGGTCACTTGTGAGAATGTAACGGTCGTATTTTCTTCTACAACAACAACAAGCACGTCAATGTTCTGTGATCATTCCAAGCAATGCAAGATCCAATATTGCTCCATTGTCGATTTTGTACAAGTCCTCCTTCCCAAAGAGAAGGTTGAGCGTTGGAGCCTTAGTAGAGGCATAGGTGTGTAAACAAATTGCTATGGTGATTGTTAGTAGCTAACTTTCACATCTGAGCTTCGTTTGGGCCAGAAGTTCGTTTTGGTCACTTTTGATAAGTCTGTGTCTTTGTTGGGCGTAACCTAATGGGCCACTTGCTAAGTTTTTATTTACACACTTATTTAGCGCGGGGGTGTTTAAAAATAAAAAAAATAAAAGCCCATAGAAGTGCTTTTGTCACCTTTTCGTCACAATTACTAAGATGAGTTTTTTTTTTTTATTTTTGCAATTTGAAAACGTGCATTTTTTTTTTTTTTTCTCAATTTTGACCCTTTTTATTCTTCTGGTTTGTGCCATTGTTTCTAGTTATTAATAAATTTAATAATTAGGACATTCTTTGTGAGTTAATATTATACATTGTACAACCAATCCTTTCTTATTAATTAGAGACAATAAGATATGGAAAAAAATAATTTAAAGTAATGTTCTTAATTCTTTTACATTGACAAACAGGTCTGAATATTATTTTCTGAAGACAAAAACATATGTTAGCAAGCTTGCATGATAATTTAGGTGTTGATAGATAGAGTTTCCCTCTTCCAAGCATAATTAAGGAAAATGATAAATTTGACAATTGGTAGTAAAAACCGATTGATATGACAATTAACAATTGGAGCATTATTCGGTGTCCTAGTTGGTAGAGTCTAACTCAAAGAACGAGTTGTTTTGAATTCACAAAGTATAGTATTTTGAATTCACAAAATAAGAGATAAATTCAGAAAAAATCTGATAATTATATTGATAATTAATTGAATGATTTAATCTTTGCATTGAAAACTCTAATTTATAAAGAAACTAACTGCAATACTAATACTCAAAAATAAGTCTAAAATAAAGTTTCTACAAAAAATTTGGAAAATTAGAGAAGGAAACATAATCAAATAAAACTACTAAATATATAAAATATGAGTGCAATTCAAGTTCGTTTAGACAACGAACAAAAAAATTCCCAAATATTCGACAAGCTTTTTATAAGCCAAAAAATTCCGTTTTGAAATCTTAAACAATGGTATAGTCTTCCTATAGAATAGAAAACCCCTGTTTTGAGCCTTAAACGATGATATTTTGCCGAAAAACGACATACATCATAGTCAAGAAAATTATTATTGGATAAAAAATATATACTTCGGGATAGTAAAAAAAAATCGGTCAGCATACCCGTTTGGCTCCCTGACGGTTCAAATAAGTCACAAATGTTTCGACAATTAGTTTTACATCGAACAGGTGTATTTGTGTTCAAATCCTCTTTCCTTTGTTTGTTTTCCTAATTAAGATAAACACTTGGGAGAGGTTACATGAAGTAAAATTTTGTACTTGGTATGATACAGAATTAATTATTGGAATGCTAATATGATATCGAATTAATTATTGGATGGTAATATTGCTACAGTCTTTCTAAATAGTGTATATTTCTTGAACCAGCAAACCAATAACGTGAGGCGATGGATTCTCTTGGGAGTCTCTACAACACCCATTACTTTAAATATATTAGCAAGAGACTTGACTTATTTGATACGATGTAAATGATACGTTTTAAGGCATTCAAATCAGGTATCCTCTTTGGGTCATCAATTCGGTCCAAATAGAATCCTCTCTCCTTTTAAATAAACCCTTTTAGAGAAAGCAAGAGCTAGAGTGAGAGTCTTCACGGTACCAATAATGAAACCCAAAAAGGTGGTAGTTTGAGAGGCAGAGATAATAGTGAAAAGGGTGGAATCTATTCGAAACCAGAACCACCCACCAAAACAAATTTCATTCCAACTTTGGACTGAGGTTTTGGAATCTCTCTATGTTTGGTCTATGGCATGCCTTGAGAAGAAGCATTGCATCCCAGAAACCACTGTTGGTTTTGTCTCAATCGACGCTACCTTCTTTGAAATGGTACAAATTACCACATTCTACCCACATCATTTCTTAAAATGGAATGGTCTTTTGCATTTGATTCTCCTCTCAAATCAATGGGGTTCTCTTCTTTCTTCCTCAGGTTCCTTTTCCTTTTCTTCATCATCTTTCCCAATGGTATGCACCTTTTTGTCTCTACTTTCAATGTTAACAATGATTTTTTTATTTATTTAACTATGCAATATATTCTTGTAGCATGTCTATGTGGAATTTGATTGAATAAGGTAAAATCTTGTTGAATTTTTCTGATAGATGATAGAATTTAGTTGTTGAATTTTTCTGCAGATAGATGATAGAATTTAGTTGACATAAAAAGTGGCTTTAATTCATCATGTTATTGGGTATTCTTGGACCTTGATGAATAGATGAGAAATCATATTCTCTGCAATTAATGTTTGTTTTTGAGTTGGACCGGGTTTGATTCATTTAGAACATTGATCTTTTGTTAAATTCAGTTCACTATATGTTGTATTCCGACTGCTAGTGCTATGATTTTTAGCTGAATGCAAGGCATACTTGTAATTTTGTTTTTCCTAAATGGGAAGGTTGTATTAATATGAAAATTGAAGTGCAAGATAATTAGTAAGGGCAGACACATACTTGTATTTAATTGTATCCAAATCTCAAATGAAAAACAACTTTGCTTTCAATTGGAGTCTAAAGTTGGCTGTTTGAATAGGCATGATTGAATCTCTTATATTTATGAGTGCATTGAGCCAATTAAAAAGAGATTGTAATTAAAATATTTATGTCCTTCAATTTATTAGTGAGTTTGTGTACTTGTCCTCCATTGAATTTTTGAAAATTTGAGTGAATTAATACACCATATACAAGAGTTGTCATGTTTATGATCAAATCAGTAGTTTCCCCAAGAAAATGGGGAAAGGCAAAGCTTAGTGGCATGTCAAAACATAATTTGCCTTTAATTGTACTATATTGGTGAATCTGTGTGATGGATTATTCATTATTGTACCTCCTTGTTTGGCAGTTTTAACGGTGCGGGGATTCACGGGAACATATGGAGTGAATTATGGCAGGGTTGCAGACAACCTCCCTCGACCTGAAAGTGTAGCGACACTGCTGAAGGCAGCAAAGATTAAGAATATCAGAATTTATGATGCTGATCATGAAGTCCTCACGGCTTTCAATGGTTCTGGCATCGAAATAATGGTGTGTGTGCCAAATGAGTTACTGATAGAGATGAGCGTGAACGAGGCTCGTGCCATGGATTGGGTGAAAGAAAATGTGGAGCCATTCCTCCCCCAAACAAAAATTACTGGGATTTCAATGGGGAATGAGATTCTGGGGGTTGTTAGTCCAGATGTCTGGGAGGCTTTGCTGAGTGCTACAAAAAATGTTTACAATGCCCTTGACCGACTCGGCCTAACTAAAGTAGTTAAGGTCTCAACCCCCCATTCTGAGGCTGTATTCGATCATTCCTTCCCTCCATCTGCATGTGTTTTTAGGGATAATATTCTTCCATACATGAAACCACTTCTGCAATTCTTTTCGCAGATTGGTTCTCCTTTCTATATCAATGCTTACCCATTCCTTGCCTATAAGAGTGATCCTGAACATATTGACATTAAGTATGCCCTTTTCCAAAAGAATTCTGGGATTTATGATGCCAAAACTAAATTGCATTACGACAACATGTTTATGGCTCAAATTGATGCTGCTTATTTTGCTTTGGAGAAAGTTGGTTTTGGGAAGATGGATGTCATTGTTTCAGAAACTGGTTGGGCTTCTAATGGGGATGAAACTGATGCAGGGGCTTCACTAAAAAATGCGAAGACTTACAATTATAATCTGAAAAAGCTGTTAGCAAAAAAGAAGGGGACCCCCTACAGACCTAAAAAAGTTATTAAGGCATATATTTTTGCCTTGTTTAATGAGAACAAGAAGTTCGGGCCGCTCTCTGAGAGAAATTTTGGACTGTTTAAAGCTGATGGGAGCATTGCATATGATATTGGGTTTACTGGACTTGTACCTTCCTCCGCAGCATCATCTCGTCTCTCCTCAAAGGTATGAGTTCCCCCTAATGCCTCTGATTTTGTTTTATTTTTTAAAATTTTTTGGTTTTGTGAAATTGTGATTCGCCACAAGAATATGTCTTTGCCATTTCATTGAAAGCATGTCATGTTCTTAGCCCTTGAACTTGTGTCTCTTGGGATATCTGAGCAACCCAACTCTGCTGATTGAATATATGCAACTAGGCATAAATTTCAGAATTGATCCTGAAAATAGTTCTGTGGTTTCATGTTTAATTGTTCCCCCACAGGACAAATGTTTCTAGAAGCACATACAAAATGAAAACATCCATAATTTCATCAATGCTCACTTGTAATTTAAACATTTCAAAAGTTACATATGTGAATCAATAAATTGTTGTTTCTTAGCTTCTCTGTTTTCTCTCACTTTCTTGGTGATCAAGTGGAGATAAGTTTTCTCCAAAAGTTATGCCATGTATGCATTTGACAACTTCTTTGTAGAAATTACTACGATAACGAAATAGCTTAGCAGTGCTTACATTTCTTTGTAGAAATTTGTAGTAGCATGCTGTCTAGTAGTAACCTCAAAGCAAATGATCATTTTAAGGATTGAGGATTACAGCGATAACGAAATAGCTTAGAAGTGCTTACATTTCTGGCAGTGTCACGGAAATCAAATCCGTGTTCTTGTGTTTCCGCTTATATTATTAATGTTTCTATTTTCTAACATTTTGATTCTACAGGATATTGGTCTGCGAGGCTGGTTTGGGTCATGCTACTCGTTGCTTCTCACGACTTGTGCTTCAGTTCTGCTTTTGATTTTGATGTCTTGACTGGCTATAGCTTCAAGCTCTCATTACCTCTTCCTATTGATGCAGAATTAGTTCATAGAAGCACTCTGACATTCTTAAATGTGTACAAATCATTGTAAAGGAACAAACTGTTGATTCATTATTATTATTATTACTGTATTTAACAACACGACTGGAAATTGTTAATATGTTTTTGAAATTGTTTAAGCAATGTAATGCATTCTTTGTCAGAATTTTTCTGGTGTGTGAGAAAGCATACTTTATCATCATCATCATCATTATATATATGTATATGTTATATGTGTGTGTGTATTTGTGAAAAATCCGAAAACTGCTTTACACATCATGTTTCAAGTTTTCAACCCTTGGAAAATGAAATTGACGAAGACAATGAATTTGGTGACTCTGAAGCTCATCAGAGTCCATCAGCCTCCCAACATAACCACCAAAAAGTCAAACTACTTTAACTTCTATATCAAATGCTTCCAATTTCACTGTCTTTTGAGGTTTGTATCATCACAACTTCTACAATTAAAAAAGAATTCAAGTTCTTGAGGAGAATATAGGCTTGAGGATTCGAGTGGGATATATTGGTGTTCACCGAAATGGACCTAATGATACCTGAACATCCTAGTCTCAATTCTAAGAATGTTCATTAATAGAGATTGTAATTCGTAAGGTATCGCGGAGAAAAGCTATGATTTGCTTGTCATACATTGATGGTCTCGTTGGATTCCTTCTCAAAAATCCTTCTTTGATGAGAAATTATTAGATGAGCCATGATGCAACATTACGACTAAACGCATACACAAGTGGTGTATAAGCTATAAATTGTCTTATTGAATTCCTTCCAAAAATATTTTGTAGATGACAAGTGGGCATGGAGTTTTATTGTAATATCAATATTTTTTTGACAATCAAATTATACAATAAATGCAAAAAACAAAAATATATATATATATTGAAGTTAGGGTGTATATGTGCAGACCCCAGAATACCAGTGGCACGTGTATTTGTGATTGATTCATATAAGAATCTGAACCAAACCCAGTTAACCAACCAAAAGTTTGGTATCTTTTATTCTTTTTAGAAATTCATTTTTGGGTGCTAGAGAAATTTTATTTTCTAAAATTTTTAAATTTTGAACATATACATAAGTTTTCGGGGCATATATAATTGCAATTCCGAATCCAGTTGTCGACAGAGCCGGAGTCTTTAAATGCATAATGTGATTTTAATTTTTCTTAGGTTGTTGTCAACTGGCACACAGCTGTATAAATTGAATAATACTGAAATTTATTTATTTATTTACTTATTATAATTCAAAATTTTGTGAAGCTATGGTTGAATCTATATAGAAAAAGTGTTGGGTTTCAATAAATTAATTAATACATAGAAATCAAGAATATTGTAATTAATTAAATAAGAAAATTTAGCCAGAATTAAATCATATAGTCCCTTTAGATTTTGAATAATATCCTTATACTATATTTGGAAGCACCGAATCAGGTAGTAGATTTAGAATTGAAAAAAAATTAATTAAAATTTCTCTAATCTCAAATTCAAAATACTGTTCCCAAACGCAACATTATGATAACAACAAGGAAATGACTTTCTCTACAAATAAAATACTTAAATCTCCATTCTCATCATACAAAATAAATCAAAAAATACAACACAATCCATCAAAATAATCACGTTACAATCCTTTTTTTTTTTAAAGTAACACATGCATTGTCAGATACTATCACAAAAGAATTTTATTTATTTAAAAATTGCAACAAATTAAAAAGCAGCGATGAGGTATGAACATGGAAAGTCTTATGTTAGTTTAAAGAGAGATTAAAATAATGTGGAAATAAAGATGTGTCATCCACACCGTTAGAAATCTATGGCTGATGAAGGGTTCAAACTCCTTTATTAATTCTGGAAGCTTTTTGAAATTTGATTCATTGACCTTTTCATTCCAAAGAAAACAACATTCTAACAGTATTCCACGAAATTACTTAGAAATTATGTGGCCTTGGAAAAGATTCAAATGCCTTAACTTAGGAAGCTTGGAAATTTGGTTCATTGACCGTTTGATCCGACATTTTAACTTTTCCATCACGCGGGGAATTTACTAGTTTTCTTCTTGACGTATTCGTGAAGTCATTATTACACAATTTGCATATTTTTTTTTATTTTTTATTTTGAAACAAAATATATTAATTGTAAATCATTTTTATTTTATTTATGTTTGTTTTGGGAAAATTCCAAATCAATCCATTGATAGAGGCTTCTTTTAACAAAAAAATATCTTTTTTTCTTTTCTTACCTTTTTTTTTTTTTCTTTTTTTTTTTTATGAATTTTGATTTTTAGCTAAATGCAATCTCTAATATCACGAGGGGAACGGTATTGCTATCAAATGCCATGTGATAAAAAGGGACGTAACAAAAAAAGTGTCCAAAGTGACAATTATTTTAGCTTTTTTCGGCAATTATTTTAGGTATTACCCCACTGTTGCACGAAAAAGTTGTTGGGTTCAATTGAATCACTATCAGATATCACATCTAACTTGTTTTGTATTATTATTCAAATAATTTCAAGGTTGTTTTCCTAAACATTTATAAAATATTTACCATCGTAATAAATTAATTTAAAAATCTTTAATTACTTTGTGATTATAAAGACGTAAATCTCGACTTTTTATTTTAAAAAATGATGAAGTCTTAAAAGACGTTGAAGTATCATTAAATTACGAATTTTTGATAAATTTAAGGCCTATTTGTTAAAACCTAAATAAATAATTTAATTTAAGTTTTTTTTTTTAGAGTGTATCGGTCCCACAACACATGCACTATTTAAGTTAAGAATGTTGTTTAAAAGAGAGATATCAAGAACTTACCTACCCATTATTAGTTAATATGATACTTAATATGGAGATCATCAACAATTTTGTGAACAGGGAGATAGATTTCAGGTATCACTCGAGATACAAGGACTTGAAGATCACCCACTTATCTTATGCAGATAACCTCCTCCTCTTTTGCCATGGGGATGTTACCTCAGTTTCGGTGATTAAATCAGCTATGGACTACTTCAACACAATGTCTGGTTTAAACATCAACACTTCCAAAAGCATTATTTTCTTCTCAGGAGCTGATCAACTCACTCAGCACTCAATTACTTCTTTACTGGGAATTGAAGTAGGCTATCTACCAATCAAATACCTTGGAGTACCTTTGATCTCCACCAATCTCAAGTCTTCTCATTGCAGCCTACTAATTGAGAAGATTACCAAAAGAATATCTCATTGGTCTTCTAGGTCACTCTCTTGTGCAGGCAGGCTTCAAATAATCAAGGTTGTTCTTGTCTCTATACAGATTTACTGGTCTAGCATTTTCATCCTCCTTAAAGCAGTGATTAATGAGCTTAATAAGATTTTTAGATCTTTTCTCTGGTCTGGTGCTGAAATGAGATCTACAAGGGCCAAAGTATGTTGAGAGAAAGTTTGCAAGCCAAAAGAAGTTGGAGGGCTTGGGATTCCTAATTTGGAATTGTCAAATAAGGCAGGGATCATGAGATTCATTTGGGAACTACAAACTGATAGCAATGATAGGCTATAGATTAAATGGTGCAACAACTATCTAATCAAGTCAAAGAACCTGTGGGAGCTTAACATTCCATAATCTTGCTCCTAGAATTGGAGGAAAATACTACAGCTTAGACATCCAGCTATACTTCTCTTAAGGCATTCCATTGGCAATGGTATAGACACATCATTTTGGCTAAATAATTGGGCTCCAGGAGGGCCAATATGCACTAGATTCCCATCCTCAATTCTCACACAGGCTGGCATCAATCAAGCTACTACAGTTGACAATTTCATTGTTGACTCCTCTTGATCTTTCCCACCACTCATCACATGTTCTATTCCTGAGTTACTGCAATTGCAGCCTCCAGTAAAATCAAGAAGGGACAAGAAGAGATGGACTGCATCTCCTACAGGAATTTTCAGCCTGGGCCACACAGCTGCTTTCCTTGCAGGTCATTTCCCTAAGGTTGATTGGCACAACTTAGTGTGGTGCTCACCAATTATCCCTAGAATGAAGCTGAATCTTTGGTTGGCAGTGCAGTCCAGATTGCCAACTCTGGATAGCAAATCAATGAAAAATTATCTCAATATCTGCCCTTTATGTCAAACACATCCTGAATCACACGACCACATCTTCTTCAAATGTTGTTTTACCTCTCCATTGTGGCTATTTATCAAGTACAAACGCCAATTCTACACACCAATCACAAACTGGGAGCAACTCATTCAATGTATCAGTGAAAAATGGAAAGCAAAATCAGTTCCTAACCTGTTAAGGAAGGTATGTTTTTCTGCATTAGTTTATCACACTCTGGAGGAAAGGAATCAAAGGATCTTCAACATCAAGAGATCTTCTCAGAGGTCAGTGCTAGCTCGAGTCTACTCTACCATCACTGCAATCCTTAAGCTTGGTTTCCTTCAAGATTGTTCTACTTCTAGGAAAATTCTCTCTGAATGGAACATCTCCCCTTCCTGTTGTCGACCTCCACCTCGTCCACCAGATTGAAGCTTGTCGGTAAGTCGCCGGCTTCATGCCCTAAAGTGCACTGGATTGAAAGGCAAACAACCTCCATTAACGGAATTACAATCCGTTAATTCAGGTTATTAGCTTTGTGTTGTATTGGGCCGATTCATGAGCCTGGTCTTTTGGTTTTGCCCAAAATTGGGCTGTTCCCCTTAAAGGGTCGTTCGGCTTCTGGCCCATACTGTAACTATTACTTTTATTTCAATGAATTTGCTTTAAATTCCAAAAAAAAAAAATGATACTTAATATGGAGGGATTTGTTGATGCAAGCGTATGGTACTTTTAATTATTAACAACAAAAGTCAGGCCCTTGAGTAAATTATAAAAAAAAAACCTAATTACAGGAAAAAAATAAATAAATAAAATAAATAAATAATAAATAAATAAATAAATAAAATCTTGACTCCATAAGTTTGTGTATATTACAGAAAACCGATCTGATCAATCAGATGGATTGTTACGTAGGAATGAATGTGCAAATATACATTTATATATAAAATAATAATAATAATATAAAAATGGATAAATTTACACTACCTCCCCTGTAGAATGTTTAAATAACAAAAATCTCACCTATAATTTCAAAAATAACACTAACCTACCATATCAGTATTATTGATTTATCATATAATGACAATTATACACATTGAATTTTTTTTTTTTACCATTACAAGATATAAACATAAATGTATATCTTTTTTCAAAAATTCTAAGGGCAAAATTGAGTTTTTATATTTTTCAGACATAGAGTTCCTATTACTATAACTAGAATTACGGAGTTTTAAAACTAAAGTGAAGATCCTGTATTTAAGTATTTACAAGTGTAATTTATCCTATAAAAATCGAGTACACTTGTATAACTCCATCACAAAACCATATATGATGGGTGTAGTTGTATGAAAAAGTTGTGACAAACGAGTGAGATTGATACATGTATGTATATATTGAGAAAATATATAATATTTATAAAATATTTTTACGTGATACCTCACCAATGTATGTATAGTCATATATAGAGAATCCCAATTTGCCTTGATGTACAAGGAATGAATAGATTTTAAAACATTACATGACTATGCAATGGGTTGGGGATACCAGGTGAAAAATACTTGTGATTAATTGTATACTTTCTGAAAATAGTATATATTACGTGGGGCTTACAATCATATGATGCAATGATATGGGACCCATCCCATGGTGTCGCATTGTCATGCATGTTCTTAATGCATGACTGGATGTGTCTTACAAGAAGCTGCAAAAGACTTTCATATATGGATCGAAGAAGAAGTCCGGAGTCAAGCTCCATTGAACCTATGCGTGTGTGTGTGTGTGAAATGGAGGACTCAACAGCGTGAACACTTTCTTCTTTGGGTTGGTAAAGGTCCGCTGTGCGTTGAAGGCTGAAGCCTTTCCCTTCACGTCGGTCAGTGGCAATTAAGTTGTCTCTTCGATCTTACCCGTACGTTAAGCCCGCGTCCAACACCAATTCCATTATATATATACACACTTTCTAACCCTCCCAACCATCACTTGCAACAACAATACATACCTTACTTACCAAATAAAAACCACCACTTGCAATTTCTCTCATTCACATACATTATATATATATATAAATTTCTAGAGAGAGAGAGATGGACAAATATTGGATGTGCATGGTTGTTGCAGGTCTTATTGCAGCTGTGATGGCGAAATCTGCAGTGGCACAAACGAAGTATGTGGTTGGAGGTAGCTTGGGTTGGGTGGTACCTCCAAATGGTGCACAGGCTTTCTCTTCATGGGCTTCTGATAAGCAGTTCATGATCGGGGATATTCTAAGTGAGTGTCTGTCTCACCACTTCTTTTTTCATTCATATTTTCTTTGCTTTGTTCGATTGGAGAAAAATTAATTTAATTTTTAAATTAATTTAATTTGAATTTCAATTCCAACCGACTAATTTTAGTTTTTTTGTGCTCAACTCTGATAATTAGTCAAGAAATGCTCTTAGTCAATAATAGATACTAACAAAAAACATTTTTTTAAAATTTAAATTAGAATAATAATTTGGAGTCACAACTTCTACTCAATTATGTGAATGGGTTCTTACGTCATTACGATAAAGATAGTCTCAGCTTTCACCCGTTCTCATACCCTTATATTTAGACTTTGTGTTCGTGGTGATCAGTTCATGTCAACCACACTAGCAGCATAGCTTATTAAGGATAAACTTCGACTACCTTATTTACAATTAATATCATTTCACGTTATGATAACATCAATCAATTATTACTCACATGAAATTAGTCGAATTTATTGCACTATATATCCCACTCCCTTTAAATTATATATATGTACCAAAATGAAATGCATGTTCTCTATAAACCACAGACGTCCGTGAGTCAAGGTAGCTCCTTGTATGATGTATCGATATTCTATGGACTAATCGATCTTTTCTTTGATGATGTTTTCTATTTCAGTTTTCAACTTCTCAACCAATGAACATGATGTCTTACAAGTATCCAAAGTCTCTTTCGATGCTTGCAACTCGGCCAACGCTATAGGTACACTAATCACACAAGGTCCAGCAAACATCACTCTCACTTCTTCCGGTGACCATTACTATATCTGCACTGTCGGCCGCCACTGCCAGGCCGGCCAGAAGCTGGCCATCAATGTCTCCGGTGCTCCCGGTGCAGCCCCCACGCCTTCCTCCATCACTCCCACTACGCCTTCTCCAACCTCGACCACCCCTAAAGCTTGCGCTCCAACTCCAACACCAACACCGATGCCAGAAGTGCCACCTTCTTCCTCGTCTGCTGCATTTGCTAGTTTCTTGCTTACCTTGTTGGCCATTTCCATGGCCTTCATTCTATAGATCATAGAGATGGTGTTACAATTTTGATTCTCTTTGGTTACATGTCCACTAAAATAAAAATGTACTTGGTGCAATTTCATATATATTCAGTTTTGTATTGGAAATAATTCATTGTTGTGGGAATTTGGACCGGGTTGGATGAACCTGTGGGATGTCTGACATATAAATATATCTCTCAGCAAAACGTGACTTTAATGAATAGAGTTCAACAAAATCTTTTTTTTTTTTATTTGTCAATAATTAATATTTATTTCAATCAGGATTATCAAATACTGATTGTCACATTTATTAATTTTCTTTTGATTCATTTTTTTTATTTTTAAAATTGAGGAGCAACGAAGTAGGGTCTCTTTGACATGTGCAATCAGCAATGTGATGATAGAGATGGCTTGTCTAAGATTTTCATATATATATATATATATATATTTTCACATTTCTGGATGGACTACTGTATGCCGCACACCATCGGTGAAAGTAATTCAATATAAGGAATTTTTTTGTCATTAAATGATCTAAATTTTGACTGATGGAAGTACTAATTTGTTTGACAGATGATAAGACTGTGAATTGGAGAAATTCATTGTTAGTGTGAGTCTCAAACTCAAATTTTTGCCATTAGTCAAAATTGGGGGAGGCCATTCGAAAACATGGTATTTTAATTGTAATACTTTACCACTATGCAATTTCTATTGTATACTCGTGAACTATTCTATATTTTTTTTATTTATAGGGATATAGGTTGTTCGTAATTTTGACAATTATAATAATAAAATTAAAATAAAAATAAAAAAATTAAGAAAATATAATAAGAGTTTCAATCGCTATATGTTCATTTGCAAATTACATCTAAGATCAAATTTCACATTTTGAACTTGTCATGAGCTCAAACTTATTAGCCCAAATTAAAATCGTAAACAATCGAGTCAAATCTAAATAATCTCAAACTTTTAATTCTACTCGATATGTGAGTCACGATTCCCGAAATATGTGTGTGTATATATATATATGTATGCAAGTTAAGAATAATTTATATAATTATATTTGTACCATATGACAATCCCAATCAATTGAACGCAATTATTGCCCCTACACATTAGTTCATACTTGACAAGAAGTAATATGTGCTAAATTCTAACTTCGGTCACCAAAGAGCACCCTTGTGACCTAGTGGTAACGTGGAAGTGGGTGTAAAAAACCCGAAAAAAAAAAAAAAAAAAAAAAAAAAAAAAAAAAAAAAAAAAAAAGAACAGTTCCAACTTTTGGTCCCAAAACTCATTTATGGCACAAATTAAAAGGATATCCTTTCAAATCCATATCTTTCTTTTGGGAATCCAATTTTAATGATTCTTAACCAATTATAACTATTGCCATCAGTCAAAAAAACCTTATTTCACAGTACTATTATTTTGCCCACCATTTTGAGATTCCTTTTAATTAATCATCACGCCCGTCATTGCACGAGGAAAGTGCATTCATATTGAATTTTGAAAATTTGAGTAAGCATTATTAATCCATTGCCTAGTTAGAAAAAGTATTCAGCACTTTAAGTAAGTGCATTCGTGTTCAAATCTCCCTCTAAAAAACCTCTAGATATTTTTGACAAGTAAATTAGACGGACTTCTTCAAAGATTTGTCATAAGTATACATACATCTCTTTTTTATTTGAAAATTTTCACAACAAATCAACAATATTAGATTGGTTGCAAATATCAATGATGTATGCATCATGAAATTACGTAAACCCTTTATGTTTACTGGGAGTAAATAACACTGATCTTCCTTTGTTTAGGTAAATTATACAAAAGTACACAATTTTAATATTTATTACTTTAACCACTCTTGAGATTTGACTTGTCGACCAAATTTTATAAAATAACAATATTGTCATTTCTTTGTATAAAATGCAACATAAATATATTACTATTACTCAACACGAGCATTACTGCAAAGTTACTTTTCGGGGCTGCCGAGTGTGTCTGCGCAACAACATCCTAATTTTTTATTTTTTATACTTCCAGCTGATTTGTGGACCAAATTTTATAAATGGCAATATTGTCTTTCCCTTATATAAAATGCAACATAAATATATTATTATAATATAAGATCATGCATATGAACGGGTTTAGGAGAAATCAAAATAAACATCGAGCGGTATACCTATGTACAATTTGACCAAACCTTAAAAAGGCCGATCTAATTTGCCATTTTTAATGTTATAGTTGTTATTAGGGTAAATTACACCCATCTCCCCTAAGGTTTCGTAAATATATACTGAGCTACAGCCTTATTTACCAAATTACACTTGCCTCCCTTAAAATTTTTATGTAAATAACACAAACCCCCTTCATTAAGGATCGAAGATGAAAAATGTTGATGTCTGCAATTTTATTAATTATAATTTTCAATTTTAATAAAATACAATATATATATATATATAAACACACACACATATACAAGGACAAAAATTTAATTATATACCCGACAAGTCAGACAGAAGAGACTGTAATTTAACAAATTGGAGAAAAAAACAGTTAATAAGACTTAAAACTTTGATGAGGTTGGTGCAATATACTCTTGTTATTATTTTGTTAAAATGGTATCTCTAAACGAACTTGGCCAAAGCCGCCTGACTGAACTGTTTCAGGCATAACTATCTTTTTGTTGTTTGTGGAGTTCAATAGCCCAATTTAAGACTTAAAACTTCAAAATCTTTTATTTCTGTACTTTGCAGTCTGGATACAATTTTTTGGAACGGTGAAAAAAATAATAATAAAAAATAGTTTTTATCTTATCATTATATATATATGTATAGTTTTCAAAAAAAAAAAAAAGTGTGATCTAAAAATTGAATTACTTTTTCCCTTATATTTAAAAATAAAAACCGACTCAGAAAGAATTTAGAGACCATAGTAGCAAGCAAGCAAGCAAGCAAAACAGGGAAAGAGATGCGTGTTGCACTTAAAGCAATACCCGAATATTTCAGAACAATTAAAGATGGCCTGGCCAGTCTTTGTGCCAAAGATGGTTGAAAAACACTATTTGGGTTTTTAAGCATCAAAAAAAAAAAAAAATAGAAATAGAGTTTGATTAGGCCTAGCTCAAACGACTCAAACCTAGCACCTAGTTGACTCTACTATATAGACTTTTGTAAAACAAAGTAGTACTACTAGCAGCAAAGATCAAGGATCAAGACACCTAGACAAGGGTGTACAAACCGAAGTCGATTGGGGTGGTTCCACAACGGTGGAGTCCACCTCGAGCCCGCCGTCCCTACCGTCCCCACCGTCATCAGCCCAGTCTTCACCGTTGATCTGATCAAGGACGAGCACCAATCCCATGGCAAAGGCACTATCAAAACCGGGTTTCAGGCAGAGAGAGAAAACTTCCTTCCCAAGCACCACATGATGGGCCGAAGCATCTACTTTGCGTCTGATCTCACCCATCGATTCCTTCGCTGCATTCAAGATTGTGCAGCTTCGCTGACCGAATGACCCCTCTATCTGGTACTCCTCACCTGCATCTCCGAACACCTCCACCGTCACGCTCGACCGTCCCATCATCGACGATCTCCGCACACTGAATATAGGTTGCTGACCCTCCGTTTTCTCTCCCAAAAACCCTTCCCACCGATGATGCAGACTCGGCCTCTATTGGAAACAAACATCAATAATTACATGAATCACAACTCGTCCCACTTGACTCAGCCCTCGTTCAAATGAACAACAAATCTCTCACATCCATTATATTGAATTTCACACTCATATCTATTGAAAATGGTTTGTACGCATCCAAGATTTTTTTCAGAGACACATAACTGAATGAGTCCGAATTGTATAATCCATTGAGTCATACTATATAAATTACAATCCAGTAGTGACCCATCAATCAACTCACAAGTTTAAGGAAAATACAAGGCTTTTTTTTAAAAAAATCTTTTTAGCATAGCATATTCTGATTTGAAATAAATTTTAAAATAAATCGAAATCCGAATTGATACCCATTAATGCAAATTAGAAATGGAAACATTGACCAATTCAATGTTTTGCAATTTTGATATACTAGGTCTAGCAGGTTTTTTAATATTATTATTATTTTATTAATTCAAAGTCCTGATTAAACTGATTAAACAACGAGCATAAAGTTTACCTTTCGCAGGACCGTGAGGAGGCAGTGGCCGGAGGCTTCCATGAGTACGACCTCGGCCTTGTCACGTGCATCGGCCCCATACGAGTCGACTCGGAAGACGACCTCACCTTTGGAATCGTAGACGGTGAATCCATCGCCGGTGGAGAAGAGAGAGGTCTTGAGAACAGTGAGATAGGTCTCTTCTTCGCACACGAACCTATCTTTAACAATAATACCACCTTTCATTCTTCTAATAAAACAGTTAGATTTAGGAGCTTTCAATACAATCTCTTTGTGTGTGGCTATGCAAATCAAAATCTTAGTAACAAAAAATGTGTACTAAGAACAAGATATAGGAGGAGAAAGAGGACAAAGAGAAAAGTCGAGCTCATTGGCGAACACTAATTAATATCTGGGATGATATCTGTTTTCTCTACACCTCTCTAAAATGTCTATTCTTCTCTCTCTACCTATCCCTCTCAAAAGTCTAATTCACTCCTGACCCCCCAAATGTGTTTCTCTTACTTCGATTCTGATAACAAAGGATAAATTATTGCGTTTGTCCGAGCCCATCACAATCCGACGGTGGTTGAGATTTTTTAATTGATATATTAGTACATTTTTATGGGATTAATTTTTTAATTTGAATTATTTTGATCTACTCATTATCAATTGTAAAGATCATCTAATACTTTTTTCATGTTAACCAGCAATTAATTTAATTTTTTTTTTTTTTTTTTTTTTGACAAGGTCCAATAATCCCCGTAACCATATAATAATTTTTCTATTATATAATGTATGAATTGAGATAAAGATTGTAATGAATTTAAATTCAAAAATATTCGATGTTCGTGCGACCATATAATAATTTTTCTATTATAAAATGCACAATTTTTTCTTTTAATTTTTTTTAGGGTAATGTGCAAAAAACCCCCCTAAACTTTACTCTTTCTTCCAAAAAACCCCCTTGAATTATTTTTTTAACAGAAAATTCCCTAAACTATCACACTTTTTGCAAAAAAAGCCAGGTGACACTGTTCCAGTAAATTTTGGCCGTAAAATAGTCACGTGCATATGCTGTAAATTGAAAATGCCAATCCTACCCTCTTTCTCTCTCTATGTCTAAATTCTTTCCCAAATTACAGACATTGGACCCTGCAATTTATTGTTCTGCAATGAGACATTCACCAATTTGGGAAGAGAACTCAGCGTCGGATGCACGACACCGGTGAACTGAATGTCCCAGAGCTGCAAAACGAAGAGATTCTGAGACAGGTCCGGGATAGGACCCGTGAACCATCGTCGAGCTCTCCATCTCTAAGCTCACCGCGCCTACCAAAAGCTCATCACACAGCCGCCGGACTAGAGCTCAACACACAGCCGCCGGATTTGTTCTCACAGCCGTCTCCTTGTCTCCCCCAGATCCGTTTCGAGCTCGATCCACCACCGCCGAATTTGTTTTCATCAACCTCGCAATCGCAGCCTCCTCCTCTCCGATCGACCACTACCTCATCGACTGTGGCTCAACTGAATCCATCACCGTCAACGTTGACAACCGCCGTTTCGTCGGCGACTCTCCATAGCTCGAACGATCTCACACAGGGATTCGAACCCACTTCCGAATTTTGTCCCGGTTCATTGTATGCCAGTTCCGGCCCAAGTTCTTGGCTGTAATAAAACAAGAGAATTGACATAGAGAGAGAAGATCTAAGCATTAACGGTGCAATCGCAGCGGCCAAAGTGAAGTCTCCGGCCAAAAAATTGGTGCAATAACAGCGGCCAAACCACTAAAATCTCCTGCAAAAGAGGAGCGGTGCTACACCGAAGTTGTTGATGCAGAGGTCTCGGTAGGAGGAAAATTCTCCACGTTGATGGCGGTGGTGAGCTGGCTGCCGGGCGATTCCGGTGACTTGGAGACCTGTACCACGGCGACACAAGGTCGCCAAGTAGTAGATTTGGACATGCGTCGCCATGAAGTCGACCTTTCCAAGCTGTGATGCACTTACGTAGCCGCAACCTTGCGGTCGCTTTTTCGCGACGCCGATGACCACTGCCGGAGCAGTGCCTCCATCATCGGCCACGAAAAGGAAAGAGAGGGGAAGAGAAGGTTAGACAGAAGAGAGAGATACAGAGGGAGGAGGGGGGAGGTTCGTACAGTAGCTATGTTGGTGTTGCAATAGATGAGTTATTGTTTCAAAGCTTAGCTTTCACTGGTTGGTTCAGCGCTGACTCTGTTTGGCGTTGAAGTTTTGGTAAAGTGATAATGAGTTGTCCAAATATCATTGGCTGTTCACAATTTGTCTGACACATCCGCAATAGAAGCCCATCAAACACAAAAACGACGTCCTTTTATAAAAGGGTAATTTTGTAATCAAACATCTCCGGTGACCTTTTATGCCGGAGACAATTCATTTTGTCCTTAAATTGTACATTTTTAATAGATCAGGGGGTATTTTTTAGTTTAGGGGGGTTTTGTGTTTTTTGCTGAAAGTTTAGGGGGGTTAAATGCACTTTACCCTTTTTTTTATTTTTGTACTAGGATCTCACCTAGGCAGGGCCCCTAAAGGATACACCATAGACTAGAAATCTAGATATATTGTCGACGGCCCCACACTTCAGCACCAATTTAGTCAGAGAATATAATGGAAATGGACGGGCTCGAACTTAGGACATATGCCACCTCAAGCCGTTTCCTTACCAACTCTACCAAGCCCTCGAAACATAAAATGCACAAATTGAGATAAAGATTGCGTTGTATTTAAATTTTGGAAATATATTCTAGGATCGAAATTTAGAGGGTTTTTTTTTTTTTTATATTATGTAGTATAATGTTGTATAGATTTTGACATTGGTATATTATTATTATTATTAATGGTAGGAATTAGTCCTATTTTTAGGCATTTGTCTTACTCAACAAACACTGGACCAAATAACGTCATTTTACCATGACTATTTTTGCCTTTATGCCATCATTACCATGACAATTATCAGTCGCTAATATTGTCTATGATTCTTTATTTGTGAGGGGCGAAATGGTCAATTGCTCGTTCTCATTCATGGCTATGAAAATTCAAAGATTCGAAGTGCAATCTTCAATCAAACTCGGTTTAATTCGTGGATGCAGAGAACTTAACAAAACCTTTAGCATATACAATCTTGGAATTCTCCAAAATCTATGTTTTAGTGAATTGTTTTCTTGTTTCAAAAGCATTAAGCTTTACCCCACATACCGCCAAAAAAATGGCGATAGAATAAAGGTACTGACATTATTTTTTTTATCTATAAAAACGACTCCACGTCTGTTCAATATCCATCCAATATTCAAACATTATGTTTCTATTTGTTTGGATGTAAAATATTTTTAAAAAAATTTAATAAAAAAATATTTTTAAAAGAAAAAAAATAAAATTTAACAAAAATAACTTATTCATCAATTTTTGATAAATTATTTTACATTTTTCACTCAATGGATTCAACTTCAATCTCGATAATATTTTATCTGAAAAAAAAGCATTTTAAAAAAAAAATATTTTACTTAAAAACAAAAGGAGCCGATATGTAAAAGATCTTCACGTTTGTTTTTTGTTTATTTTTTTATTTTTTTTTTTGCCCTTTTCTTTACACATTCTTCAACCCAATAGATTTTCTTCCAGATCGACGGAAAAGTCCCTGCCATAGCCCATGTGCCAAAAGCGGTGGACATTCAGAAATGAAAGAGGTGACCGGTGACGGCTCACAGTGACGGGTTTTTAATCAAGGGGTAACTTTGAAGTGTGTTGACTAACAGAAATATTTAAAATTAGGATTAAATCTCAAATATGTTTGTAAAATGAGACCTGTAACAACCGCGATTTTTCAAGAGACGTGTTATATATATATATATATATATATATATCTTTAGTTTTTTATATAAGCATATAAAGCTATCATCTTATTTATTTTGAAATTTAAATGAGTTTTAATTAAACTCAACCTCTGGATATACATGTATATATGTCTAGAATTAATTGTATTAAGTTTTTACTACGTTACTATCCCGAGAATTCTACGCAATGTTGTTGTGAAGCGAAGAAAAGTCAGGCAAGTTAATTTTTGCTTGTAACCCCCTTTATATATTTGTGCTAAGATCATTATTTATGATTTAATTATAGAATTCATGAATTTTGATTTGGTTAGAATGGTGGAGATTGCATATAGAAGCACTGAGTTAATATGATGTTATAGATTTGTATGATGCTATATTCCGTACTTCTGGATTATTCTTGTATAAGGATACTGTGGATAATTACTAGTGATGTTTACAAGTCATTTTGGAATTTTGTCAATCTCCAATAGAATTAGCTTTGAGTTTATGACGCATCTTAAATTTCGCATAGATCGATAAGCTTGAGTAGATTGTTTTGATTTATTAATTATATTTATATAATCATGATTTAGAGAGAGACTGATATTATTGCAGGGGTTGGGAATTATATATTAGTTAAATTGATTACATGTATTGAACTTTTGTGTGGCCTGTAGTAGAGCACTATGGTGCATATGTATTCATAAATGACACAGTACCTATATTTACATAGATTAGGTTTCTAGTTTTGTTGTCGTTAATATAAATTATTGTCAGAAGAATTTGTTTCATAACCTGTATAGTCAGTAGCAAAAGAGATATTGAACCAAGATGAGATGATTATTTTTAACCAATTAAGGACTGGTTTATGGGTTATGGGACCATGTTCGTAGCATATTTAACAGATGTTGTCTTAATGGAGTATAAGTCATTGTGTGGTTTGAAAAAGAGTAAATGCTTGGAGTTCTGTATTTTACAAAGAATAGAATTGCTTTAGTTATCACACATGAATTGATAATGGTGATTAAAAGTATTAAATTATTGGAGTAATGAATAAGATGATGGTGGTGGTTGGCGGTAAATGGGTTTTGAGGTTTTGCATGTCATTAATACACTAGTACTGAATGTTGGATGATTGATCGGGAGATAATTATTTAATAATCTGGTGTAAGAATTTATTTAGAAGAATTATGAACTCTTGATGTTGTGCATGTGTTGTACATAAATATTATGAAGAATTTAGAGATATATCTAATAGATGGTATTTTATTGCACACATATATGTGAATTAGTTGTTCAATTAGTTCAACTTGGTTGCTGGTAGCTTTACGGCTATGGTACATATAATCCATGGTTATATAGGTGTCAATTAAAGATTTGTGGATTTCAGTAAAGAAATTGAACTAGTATTAGAAGTTAAGCGATGGTATAGATGATGGTTAGTGTAGTTAAAGTCAACTCAGATTGGCCGATAATGAGGGTGATTTTTAGAATGTAAGTTAGCAGGTTGCAAAATCTAAGACTACGAGTATGTTATGGAATGTTTTTATTTATTAATTATTTAGGTAATTAATTAAGGTATTTGATGTACTCGGGAAATTATGAGTTATGATTACTAAATGGTAAAGATATTTATTAAAGCAATGCTTTTGGTATGTAGATGAGGTATGTGAACTAGACGGAACAATAGTTCGGGACTAACCTCTTAATGATTGGTCGAGATTATCGGATCAGTTAGGCATGGTCAGGGACCAGCCTTATGCAAGTGCACTATTTTGTGTTATGGCCATGGGTCTAATGAGCCCTTATTGTGTGGACGTGATCAGGATCATCTGGGTGAGTAGATATGCAACCCAGCCACATGTGTGCAATTGGTAGTCAGGGATTATGCAATTCACACCATTTAATCGGAGTGGAGCTAGGGGCTCATGTGAGGTAATGGCATTAGAACGCCAACTGATTGAGGGGAGCCAGGGGCTCATGTGAGGTAAGTGGAATTTTAGTAATTTAAATTCTTGATGGGTTATAAGTTCACAGTTTGAGTTAATGTTATAGAATGACGATGATTAGTAGATATTTTCGTGGTCACTTATATATGTATATATATACGGATTAAGTAAGGATTGACTTGCTGAACGATGTTAGAGTTTAGCAATTTCTTGCTGAGCTTGTGAGCTCACCCTTTTATTACTTTCAGGTGCACACGGATTTAGCTTGCAAAGGAGACTCAATGGGAGATGGAGATTTTCCGGATTTCCACATATTGATTTTATTATTGTTTCTTAGCAAACACTTTGTAATAAGATTCATTTAGTTGGTGGAATTTTTATTAGTTGGGGTTGTAATAAATTTCCTTTGGATTGATGGATTTTTAAATACAATGTATCTTACTGTTTAATCATGGATTATTGTGGATGAATAATGTGAGTCACGTACCAGATTTTAGTATAAGACAACGGTTTTTGTGTTAAAATTTTTGGGGCGTGACAAGACCAATGTTGGGATTTAAGTAAAAAATAAAAATAAAAATTCCCCCAAATTTAAAACTAAAATAGAAAGAGTTCTAATAATATAATATATTGTAGATTTTGAGCAACAACCGATTTATTACATAATTACTCAATTTGAATAAGGAAGATCTATGTGAATTTATTAAAAATGTATTTCGAATGTATCTCCGATCAAATCAATCATTTTCGAGTCTTACCTTAAGTACCTGGACATGCACCAATGTGCGTCTGGTGGCTCTTTGCAAGACGAAGATTGAGTTTACTAACTAGGAAGAGTCAATAAAAATTCGAACGCACCTTTCTCTTTCAGTGAATTAAAAAAAAAAAAAAAAAAAAATTGCAAACAGGCCTAAGATCACAAGAAAAAATAAATAAAAACAATTGATGGTCAAATAATGTAGTCACCGTCAATCACTAATTGATATCAACTTTATTTAACCTCTTGTTTATATATAGCCCGTACAGTGGTTGGGACTGAAGGCATGCAATTCAAAAATAGAGTTACCCTAATGAAGGTTAAGGAAAATTTATTACCAAAACATAAGTTTTATTCAATTTTTTTTTCTTAAATGCCAATTAATAATTAGTTGAGATTAATGATTCACCAACTATATAATAATTTATCCTAACAATAATACAAAAGAATGAGGGAGAGAAAAACAAGCCAACAACTAACTCAATAAAGTATAGAGATATAAAATGGAGCATTAATAATAGTCAACTTAGAAATGTCAATTAGCTGAAAAACTCAAGGTCCCTATCATTAATAATAGGAAATATTTTTAAACTATTAGATTGGCCGTCGACATGAGGAAAGTTCTTAATACAATCAAGTGGGACATGGGAGATTCATATATCGTGGTGCTGGAATATTGTGCTATGTTTGTAAGAAGAAAGGAAAAGGAGCTGAGCGAAGATAGGAATGAATAAATAAATTTTGTTCATTTAGCAGGGAGATGTAAGGAGATGATAGAAAAGATGATGAACATCAATTCTTCCTTCATAAATTTTTATCTCTCCAAATATGGATGGAAAAAAAGGCAAGGCTATTTAAAAGTTTTTAATTTACAATTTTTCCTTATAATTAACACTCTGTTCCATTCTCTTTTAACAAACAAAATAAATAAGTATTATCTAATTTTCCCTTCTCTTCCATTCAATAAAACAAAAACAATCAAACAAAAAAAGAGAAAAACACAATATCTTCTCTATAATGTTTCATTCATCCCTTCTTCTTTTCCTTTCATCCAAATTTCTTTCTTCCTTCCAAATGGAACATCCAAATCTCACAATGAGACGGGCTTCACAAGGAAATATTTTCGAAAAAATACAAAATATTATTTTCTAAAATAACATTATGTTCTTCTCAAAAAATAATAATAATAACACTATGTTCAAAAGTTTGGTATCACAATTTGAAATTGAAATTTTTGACCAATTATTTTAAAGTTTAATTTTATTTATTTATTTATTTATTTTTGTCAAATTCCAATCTCACCTGCAAACGCAATATATGCCATGTTTTTTAAATCCATCTTCAAATATCAATTTTCACCACCATCTTAACTTGAGTGGTATGTCTTCCCTAGGGATGGAGCCATTTATATTCGTTACTGTAAATCTAATGGTATGAAATTATAAAATTATTGTAATATTTTTGTTTGAAAATATCTCTTAAGATATGTTTTTAAAAACATTTTAGTAAACTAATTAGGGTTAAGTGCATTTAACCCCTTCTCTCTCCCAAGAAAACCTGTAAACTATTATTATGCCACTTAACTCTCTGAGTTACAAAAAATCCCAACCCCTTTAATGTTCTGTTGATTCAGTAAACAAACTATACAAGTCACGTGACCGACCCATCTTTTAAAAAGACATTATTACCTTTTTATATATATTCCTCTCCTCAATCACTCTTCTTGAAAAATTATTAAGTACTCTTGAACCATTAATATTTAGTGGATCAGTTGAATACAAATTCTTAGATTGGCAAAATAATCTTACAAAAATGTATTAATAAATTACAGAGTTTCATAATCGGTCACTCTGCTCAACCACATATACCTCCTCTCACCTGCAAATAGGGACGGAGGGAGTTAAGGGCCAAAGGGCACATGCCCCCTGGGATTTTCTTCCTCTTGTATTCTATATGTATTTTATAATAATATATATATATATATATTTTTGATGAAAATATGAAAAGTGTCCCCTAAATTTTCTCATTCCTCATAGAATTTTATATATGTCTCTTATTTTTTTCTCTTAAATTATTTCTATAATCCTTATATTATATATCGGTAAATTAATTTCATTCCAAAAATATATATCCCTCTCTCTTTCTATATATATACACACTCATAAACATTGATTTATTACATTATATTGTAAATATATGTACAATGTGTGCTGAAATTTTTTAACACTTCGTCCCTGCAAACCTGTAAAACACAACCTTCTTACATTTCTTAATGCATCAAATCCATTGCGTGTATTTGCATTCTTGCTCAGGGTGCTTGGATTTGCATCATCTTGACTAGCAAATTGCATTCCTTACAACCCACACCCTGTGAAAATAATTTCACTAATCCACCATGTATATTATCAGAAAAGAAATGAAAATTAAATACAGCATAGATTATGATGTATGTAATTGCTTCCCTCCATTATCATATTCTTTTACAAAAAAACACACGTCCTGATTAGATAGCAACCCATCACCCAACTATTCCAATCAACTCTAACACTGCTTCGTCGTTCACGTGAGGTTTGTCCTTCACAGGAGACGTTTTTTGTTTTTGTGTCATTGGTAGAAATTGACTTCTTCTTCTTAGGTAACTAGAACGTACGTTTATTCATTTTCTTCCTCGTTATAGATTTTAACCTGGCCATTAAATTTTGAAATTTCGAAGTTCAGATGAAGACGAAGAGGAGAGTACAGGAGTTGGAACGAAGAAGAATAGTGGAAGGTTCAGACGACGCGAAGAAGATGAAGAGGAGAGTAGCGGAGAGAGATTAGGGTTCTGTAATTTTACCCAAAGGTAAAGTTAAAGGTAATTTTTAACAAAAAGAATTAAATCTAATTGTAAATCATGTATTTTCGTATAATGTATAAGAGTATGGTGTATTATAAATGAAAATAATAAATAAGTAACTTTATTGTGTAAATGCTAACTTGGATGCTGACTGGACAATGATGTGACAAATGGGTTGGATCGCTCCATGAGAGATGCCCTTGAATAGATTCGTGTCCATGAAAATGGGGTCCATCATTACTACAACTAGAAGTCAGGCGACGAACATCACTCTCACTTCTTCCGGGGACCGTAACCATTACTACATCTGCACCGTCGGCCGCTACTGCCAGCCTGGTCAGAAGCTGTCCATCAATGTCTCCGATGCAGCCCCCACGCCTTCCTCCAACACTCCTACTACGCCTTCTCCAACCTCGACCACCCCTGAATCTTGCGCTCCAACTCCGACACCATCGTCCATCCCGATGCCAGAAGTGTCACCTTCTTCCTCGTCTGATGAGTGCATTTGCTAGTTTCTTGCTTACCTTGTTGGCCATTTCCATGGCCTTCATTCTATAGATCATAGCGATGATCCAGCAAACATTACTCTCACTTTTTGAACTTGTCATGAGCTCAAGCATATTAGCCCAGATTGAAACCGCGAGTTAAATCTGAATAACCTCAAACTTTTAACTCTATTCATTTGCCCACCATTGGTCTCACAGTGAAGTTAGTGTAATTTAACAGATAGGAGGAGGGAAAATCAATTTGTTATTTTGTTAAAATAGTGTCTGTAAGCAAACTTGGCCAAAGTGGTCTGACCCAACTATTTCAGGCATAACTATCTTTTTGTTGTTTGTGGAGTTACAATAGTCCAAATTAACACTTAAAACTTCAATATCGTTCTGTACTCTGGATACAAATTTTAGGAATGGTTAAAAATAATAATTATTTTTATTTTTAGCTTATCAATATATATATATATATATAGTTTTCAAAAGAAAAAGTGTGTGATCTAAAAATTGAATTCTTTTTTCACTTATATTTCAAAAGTACTAGTAGCAAGCAAGCAAAGCAGGGAAGGAGATGCTTGTTGCACTTGAATCAATACCCAAATATTTCAGAACAATTAAAGATGGCCAAGGCCAGGCCAGGCCAGTCTTTGAGCCAAAAGAGTGTTGAAAATCGCTATTTGGTTTTTAAGCATCACAAAAATATATATATATAGACTTAACCAAAGGTCCAAAACCAATTGAACTTAAATACTAGCACTTTTAAATATAAACACACCCATATCATTATAGATTGTCAGTAGTAATTAATTTTTCTAATCAATCTTCATTGCTCAACAACAGCAACAACAACAAACCAAGTCTAGACATACATAGAGTTCGACTAGGCCTAGCCTCTTTTTCTTTATAGACTTTTGTAAAATAAAGTACTGAAAGGATCAGACAAGGTTGTACAAACCCCAATCTTACTATTACCAGACAAGGGTAACCCCATTTACCATTACCAGACATGCAAAATCATCTGACATTCAAATCAAGCTGATTCGGATTCCACACTGGTGGGGTCAAGGGATCCCACACTGCCTTCATCACCCCAATCATCACCGTGGATCTGATCAAGGACGAGCACCAATCCCATGGCAAAGGCACTATCAAAACCCGGTTTCACGCACAGAGAGAAGACTTCCTTCCCAAGCACCACATGATGGGCCGAAGCATCTACTTTGCGTCTGATCTCAGCCATCGATTCCTTCGCTGCATTGTAGATGGTGCAGCTTCGCTGACTGAATGATCCCTCTATCTGGTACTCCTCACCTGCATCTCCACCCACCTCCACCGTCATGCTAGACCGACGTCCCATCATCGACGATCTCCGCACACTGAATATCGGTTGCTGACCCTCCGTCTTCTCTCCCAGAAACCCTTCCCACCGATGATGCAGACTCGGCCTCTATTGGAGACAAACACATGAATCACAACTCGTCCGAGTTAACTCAGGCTCGTTCAAATGAACAAATCACTCGTCATTATATTGAATTTCACGGTCCTAGCTATCTATTGAAAATGTTTGTACGCTAGCATGATTTTTTTTACAAAGACATAACTGAGTGAGTCGACTCCGAGTTGTGTAATCGATTTAAAGTCTTTCTATATTACAGTAAATTACAATTCAGTAGTGACCCATCAATCAACTCACAAATCAAGGAAAATATAAGTGTTTTTTTTTTTTCATAGCATATTCTGATTTGAAATGAATGTTATAAAAAATCCAAATCCGAATTGAAGGGGCAGTCAGAATATGATTAGGCATCAATCCTTATATGATCTGTTCAAAAAAAATTTTAATCGAATCGGACGGAATTGAATCGGCATATTAAATTTTATCTAAATTATTTATTATTATTTTTATAAATAATATTATTTATTATTTATTTATCTTTTTAATCCTAACTCAATACATAAAATTTTAATATATTAATATTAATTCATATATTTAAATAATTATTAATTAATACATCATTAAAATATATTAAATTATCATTAATTAATATATTATTTAAAAAATATGTATTTAAATTTCATAGATCGAATCAATTTTTAACAACTTACTTAATTCGTGATTCGATTCATGAATTACTAATTTAATTTTTTTAAATCCGTGAGACCGAATTGAATTGAAAGACTCAAGGAATATTTGCCCACCATTTCAATGTTTTTTTCTTTTTTTCATTGCTTGCGCATTTGAGTTGTGTTTTTTTCATTGTTTGCAAGTTTGCATATGGAGATGTAGCGATGCTGCCGAGTCAGGCCCGCCTAACCGCCTAGGTCAGGCCTTAAGTAACCACCCCATACTGCTAGGTTCGAATTTCTTCACCCCTCCCCTCACTAACTTTCAAACCATGTAGGTTAGAAAAAAAAAAAAAAAAGGAAAGAAAAGAAAAGAAAAGAAACTTTGCATATTCGATTTATAATCAGCTAATTAAATGACTCGCCAAGTTAACTCGTGTGCTAATGTGACAGACACGTACTAGAACTGGTTAAACGCCAAAATGAAATTTACCTTTCGCCGGACCGTGAGGAGGCAGCGGCCGGAGGCTTCCATGAGTACGACATCGGCCTTGTCACGTGCATCGCCCCCATACGAGTCGACTCGGAGGACGAGCTCACCTTTGGAATCGTAGACGGTGAATCCATCGTCGGCGAAGAAGAGAGAGGTCTTGAGAACAGTGAGATGGGTCTCTTCTTCGCACATGAACCTATCTTCAACAACAAAACCACCTTTCATTCTTCTAAAATAGTTATTAGGAGGTTTCAATGCAATCTCTCTGTGTGTGGCTATGCAAATCAATATCTTAGTGAGAGAAAATGTGATGAAGTTAGTAGAAGATATATAGGAGGAGAGAGATGACAGGGAGGAAAGTCGGAGCTCATCGCCTGAGACAAGTGGCGAACACTTCATATCTGGGATGACGATGAGGGGCAGAGTCAATACGTCTTCTCTCCGAGTAAATATCTGGTGCGCTGAGCATACTAATGACACCATAAGTTTGGCCAATAAAAATTAATATAATAATTTGTTAAAAGTAATGTATTATTTTTTAAAGTAAATAAAATTAATTTTATAAAATAATACATTTCTATTGACTTCAACGTACCAATAACATAATATATCTAACAAACTTAATATCTTCCTCCTCCTCTCCACCTCTCAAAAACATGTCCATTTTTCTCTCTCTCTCTCTCTCAAAAGTCTAATTTACCAGGGACCCAAATGTGTTGCGCTTGCTGCGAGCCAATAAAAATTAATATAATAATTTGTTAAAAGTAATGTATTATTTTTTAAAGTAAATAAAATTAATTTTATAAAATAATACATTTTTATTGACTTCAACGTACCAATAACATAATATATCTAACAAACTTAATATCTTCCTCCTCCTCTCCACCTCTCAAAAACATGTCCATTTTTCTCTCTCTCTCTCTCTCTCTCTCTCTCAAAAGTCTAATTTACCAGGGACCCAAATGTGTTGCGCTTGCTGCGAATCTTATTACAAATGATAAATTATTGCGTTTGTCCAGCAGATCACAATCCAGCCAATTGTTTGGATACATTAACCCATTTTTGTGGCTCATTTTTTTAGAGAGTTTGAAATTGATTTGGTTCACAAAATGTCAATGAGCACCACCTAATAATTTATTCATTGTTAATCTACTGAAACTTTGTGATTGACTAATTTCAATAGTCATGGATTGAAATCCAGAAATATATTTTAATATTAAAATGAGGATGTTAATTGCAAACGTGCAAGTAACTGTGAACGAAATAACGGTTAGAATTGGTTACTTTTAAATGCATTAATTATTTAATTTTTTGTTTTCATGAAACTTTACAAATATTAATTTTTTTTAGACAAAAGTATCATTTTAAATTATGAACTTTTATTCTTTTCTCCTCTTTTAATCAATGAGTGTGTGTGTAATATATATACTAAATAATTAGTGTTATGTGAATGGATTCTGAAAAAGAAAAAAAAAAAAAAAAAATAGATAGGATAATCCATTCATAAGAGATGGATGGATTCTAGAAAAAATAAAAATAAAAGGAAGGAGAAAAAAAATAATAATAAGTGCGAGAAAAGAATCGTATAAGATGGATTCTAAGATCAATTATATATTTCTTATTACAACTATTTTTGAGTGAATAAATTCTTTCATTTTTTGTTTTTTCCTATATATATTTCTTTTTGTTTTTATTTTTTTATTTTTACAACTATCCTTGTATAAATGGATTTAAAAGAAAAAAAAGGAAATAATTCATTCACCAAAAATAGTTGTAAAAAGAAATATATATATATATATATATATAACTAATTATATATATATTTTTTAAATCTCAGAATCTATCTTGTATATATATGGACTATTTTTTTGCATTTTTTTTTTTAGAATCCATCTCTTGTGAATGAATTATCCTATCTAATCATTTTTTTTTTCCCGAGTTCATTCACATAACGTTAGTTATTTTACACACACACACATCCGCATTTGAATAGATTAAAAGAGGAGAGAAGAAGAAAGAGTACGTAATTTAAAAAGATATTCTTGTCTAAAAAAGTAATATTTGTAGAATTTCGTGAAAATATAAACTAAGTAATTAATACATTTAAATCTAACCCATCCTAATGGCCATCGTGAAAGGACACTAATAGTCACTGTGAAAAGGCAATTGTTTGAAAGACTGCAATTAGCACTCCTCTTTCAAAATTTATAACTCAAATATAAAGTTCTATTAATATAATAATATGGTAGATTTTGAGCTAAGTTTTGAGCAACATCCCATTTATTACATAATTACTCAATGAAGATGTATGTGAATTTATTAAAAATATATTTGGAATGTATCTGGGTCAAAATCAATCATTTTCAAGTGTTACATTAAATACCTGGACATGCACCAATGTGTGCAGCTCTTTGCAAAATGAAGAAACGTCAGTCAATAAAAAATTTCAAGCACACCTTTTTCTTTCGTTGAATTAAAATTATACAACAATAAAAGTCACAAAAACAAAAACCTGCAAAGAGGCCCAAGTTCAGAGCATATAGAAAAAAAGGAATAAATTAAAAATAAATAATTAATGGTGAAATAATGTAGTCACAGTCAATCAAATTTATTTAACTTTTTGTTTATTTATGGTTTGGTTGGTGATCAGAGGCGGAACTAGGAATTCGTTTAAGAGGAGCCCTGTGTTAAAGAGGATAAATTATTATTATTTTTTTCAAATTGACAGCGCAGCAAGACAATAAGCCGAAATATACTACTATAATGATGGAATAATAGCATTTAACAAATTTGAAAAATAATTATTTAAAAAAATTAGAAACATAAAATACCAACATTAAGAGTCCTTTTAGCAACAAATTTATTTTGCAAACTTTGATGAAAAAAAAAAAGGTAATAGTTTGAATAAAGGAATGTAAATTTTTTTTTTTTTGAAGAGAATATAAAAAATTAGAAGAAGTGGGCATTTTTGCAAAATTTTATAAATCATAGGCCTTTGTGGAATAAAAATTAATGGGCCTAGAGGTAAATAATTATTTCAGGGAGTATTGTTCACTTTTTTATAAATTATTAGCCTATGTGTAGTAAAAATTTATTGCCATGAGTGAAGAATTTTCTAAAAAAAAATTATTATAGGGGGTTGTTTTAAAAACTTATAAAAGTCATAGACTAATTTGTAATTAAAATTAATGGGCCCGGGGGCATGTGCCCCCCTGCCTGTGCAGGCTTCCGCCCAGGTGGTGATTGAACACGTCCAATTCAAAATTGGAGCTACCCTAATAAAGGTTAACTAGAAATTATTACTAAAATGTACATAGTTTATTTAATTTCTCTTAAATGTCAAATAATAATTTGTTGAGATAAATGATTTGCAAACTATGTAACAATTTTTCGTAACAATAAACAAAAGGATAAAGAAGAGAAAAACAAACAAACGACTCACTCAAAAGAAAATTACAAAAGAAAATGACAAAATCTGCTTAGATGTCACTTAGCTGAAAAATTCAGGGGTCCCGATCGTTAATAATAGGAAACATTTTTCAACGTATTAGGCTGGCCATCGACCACTCGACCTGAGGTAAGTTCTCTTAATACAATGAAGTGGGACATCTGAGGTACATAAAGGATTGTGTTTGAATCTTGTGCGTTGTTTATAAGAAAATTTGAAAATTGGACATAGAAAGTTTGTTTCTTGCTATCAAATAACAATTTTCACCACCAAAACCTTAACTCAGTTATATGTCCTCCTAGGGATGGTGCCAGTTATATTCATTAAGGGTAAATCTAATATTTTCTATATATATATTTAAATGTCTATCATATCAATTATAAAAGATGGTTAGAGCATCTCCAATGCAAAATGCTATATTTTCATGCCAAATCTATATTTTGAAAGAAATTATAATGTCAAAACGCTATATTTTTGCAATTCTATTCCAATGGTGCATTTCATCTAAAATATTGTTTTTTTATACAACCACCATTCCATATTTTGAAATTCCATTGGAGTGTCTTATTTTTATTTTAATAACTCTTCACAATCTCAAAATATGAGAAGTCTTTTGAGGGAATCCATTGGAGTGCCTATTTTCATCTGCTTGCTATATTTTAAATTTGAGAGGTCATTTGAGAGCTGATATATTTGAGAATACATTTGAGAATCTCAAAATATGAGAGATCTTTTGAGAGGTTATTGGAGTACCTTATTTTCTTCCAACTCTTATATTTTGAGTTTGAGAGCTCGTTTGAGAGGCCATTAAAAATACTCTTAGGCATTTGCGATCCATTGGCGATATTTTTTTGCTATTCTTGACATATAATTGAAAAGATGCTATTCTTGACATATAATTGAAAAGATTGAAAAATGTAGTACAACCTAACCTAAGTTAAAAAAATTGAAAATACTGTTTTGAGGATGGGTCCATTATTAGCCCACCATTCATGTTTTGCATGCATTATTGTGAATGACGGAAGAGAAATACTATATGGCTTGAATAAGCATGAATTGTGAACAAGAAAGTAGGGAAAAAAACAATTAAGTGTTGGTGCAGAAGTCAGAGAATTTCAATAGAAAAAAATTATTTCTCCTTTCCTCGCATATTTAAATGTCTGGTATTTTATGTTTTCTCTTATATTTATAATAAAGTACAATTTGAATTATTATTATTATTTTTCCTCTCCAATGATCAGAAATCCAAACTAGGCTTTAATTCTCCACTACTTTCATAATGAATACAATATAATTTAGGGCAAATTACACAGATCACTTTTGATATTGTACATGTAGATAGGAGTTACAATAATATTACACAAAGGTCCATATCAACCGTTTGACTCCCAAAAAATTAATATAAATTTACACTTTTAACCTTAAAATTAAAGTATTTATTTTTAATAAAAAAATAAAAAATATTGTATTTTAAGAAGTTTCATTTTTGCCCCTGCTACACCCCATCTTCCCTTCACATCACTCCTATTTTCTCTCTCTATACTATGGGTCTGAATTGAACGGTGATGATGCTCTACCAGTGCTTACCGACGTGAGGTCTAAACGACGAGCAAGCAGCTCGCAATTGTGTGCACAGACTCTTATCGGCAATGATGGAGGACGGATTTGTGGTCGTTGAAAACAATGGTTGTAGAGAGAGAAGTGAGCCCGACGACGTAAGATACCGGCGGTGAACTAGTGAGATAAGCTGTGAAGCGGTGCCAATTTATTTGGACTTCAGGTATATGTTGATTATTGGGTTTGAGCTTTGAAATGATATTACATATTCACGAGAAGATTTGAGCTTGGCTGTGGCGGATGTTGGTTGTGATGGAGGTGGCAGTGACTGAGGTTGAGCTCGGACGGTGGAGAGTTGTGTGGTGACGGACCGGCGAGCTTGGAACAGAGGACTCGGGCCACTCGACTGTGATGAGGTCCGAATGATTTGTGGCTCTGTGGTTGGATTTGGGTTTTGTGGCTCTGTGGCTGGATTTGGTCTGTGATTAGTTCTCTTGGAGATGGAGATGTGGTTTTTGCAATTTAGTGTTGGAGTTTTAGGGGCAAAATTGTAATTTTAATAATACACAAAAAGTTTTAAATTTTTTTATTAAATAAATAGTTTAACTCTAAGGATAAAAACA